ACAGGAAGAAACTCCAGCAGAACCATCTGCTGAGGCCAACTGGGGTTCAAGGAGACAGAAGCAGAGATACAAAAAGCGTGCATTCCATTACTAGTCCATTCAAAATTGGACTATTGTAACTCTTTGCTATTTGGAAATCCACAAACTGTAGTTAAAAGCCTTCAGCTGATCCAATATGCTGCAGCCAGAGTTCGGATGAAAATTAAAAAAGGATCATATTTTTTCTATCCTAGCTTCCTGATGGCTCAACTAAACAATTCCAGATGAACTTGCTCTTGCAGATCATTAAGAATTACTCTGCTTATCCCAGGTGACCTATTAGATTTACAAAATCTCTACCTTGTGAATGAATGAATAGGAATTTATTTCAGACAATAAATGAATCAACAAAACACACACAAAAGAAACTAGTTAGCATCATCCAAACTAAACACCGATTTCCAAACTAACCTAAAGAATTTTAGTGTTTCCATTCTAAAAGAAAAAAACAGAACAAAAGAGCTTAAAAGACCAGAAGAAAAACATCCAGAAACTATCAAAATACCTTGGAAAGGAGCTCCAAGGATAAGTATAAATTATATAGGTTTTCAAAATAGCTTCATCAGATGAACTATTTTTTTCTGATGTACATCTTGTTCTTCTAACGGCTAAATAGGTCTCAATCACAGACTGTGATGTTTGAGTCAGTGGAAAACCCTGAAGGACAGCCGTGATTTCACGAACTCATCAGAGCAGCGGCAGCATCAATCCACTCATTTCGTCAGCCCCTGTCAGCTTTTGATGAGCTGTTCTGAGGGTTCCTTCTGACCCACTTTGACTCAGACTCTATTCTCCAGACAGATCCGACGTCTCTGCTCGACTCCTTTTCACACTCACTAATGCGATTAGGAAAAACACACATTTCCCAGCGGTGAAGCAGAATCAGGGGTGAACTCATCCAGCACTTTGTGTTTAATCAATAACTTCTCTTTTTGACCCAGATAGGCTACTTGGTGGTATGATGAGAGAACTTATATTTGTGATATTGACACTAAAAGTAATGTAATGTACCACATTTAAAGGTGGAGGTTCAATACCTAAGGATATCCTACACCATGTGTGACACTTGGACCTGACAAAATTTGGTACGACGTCAAACTTTGTGTATTTACATTGTACACGCATCATTTAGCATTAGACAGGCAACAAGATTTGGCAATAACATTGAAAACATGGATGCTGTTGTAGCTGAGTGGTATGTTTCTCACTCTTATGGGAAATATCACAAGTCTGTAAGCCTGCTGGATTAATTATAAACAACTAAAAATCTGATGTTTAGCAGCATAATCTACTCTTTAATTGGAAATCCTTAAAAAAATTAAGAGTTCTCTTTGGAGGAATGTGTTCAAACATCAGATTTTTCATCGACATAAGAAAGTCTGGGAAAACGTCCTTAGTTGACCACATCCAAAGAAGGAGGACAAAGAAATAATCCAATGTAGAGATATAAAAAAAAAACATGTCGGGGCTCAAATGATCAGTAAGATAAAGGAAACGGTGATAAAAACATTCACCAGTACGAACTCTTGTTCAATCCGACATGCACACAGATTATGTAGATCCAGCTGTTTGGTAGTTATGCCAAATAGCCTGTACTTATACAGCGCTTTTTCAAGTCACGCACACACTGATGATGGCTAGCTACCTTGTAGCCACAGCTACCCTGGGGCTCACTGACAGAAGCGAGGCTCCCGTACGCCACCAGTCCCTCTGATCCACCATAGTTGTGATCAGATTAATTTGTCTCACAGGACGGCTTTCCCTGGCATGAATCTTTTTTGGCAATCCGTTATTCTGTATTTGTGGGGCAACATTCAAAACCTGTTAAAACCTCTTGCAAAACATACCAGTTCTTGTTGTTCTGTGTTCTAGATAAATCTTATGGTGGATTAAATTGTTCATTTTAAAGATCTCCTTATGTTTACACAAAACAAATTCAACACGCATGTTTATAAACATACATTTGACCACATGTGGCACCATTAGGCTACGTTCACACTGCAGCCTGAAGTGACCCAAATCTGATTTTTCATGACTGTCTGAACAACACAAATCCGATGTTTTCCAATGCGACCCAGGCCACTTGGCTATGTGGTCCTGAATCCGATACGAATCTGATCTTTTCAAATGCGACCTGTGTCTGAACGGCCATGTCACATTCATCCAACCTTAACGCCATTAATACTCAACAAAGGTCACCTACTCTGGGTCTTGCTATGAAGAAGTGGCAAGAAAAACTACAACCATGGCGGAAGATGATGCAGAGAGCAGTATTTATGTTTAACCATCTTAAAAAGATTGTGTTTTTATGGTTGGGAAATTTCGCTAGATGTGCTCCGGCACTACCATCCATGTTTACGTCCATAAACACAGAGCACCTTTGCTTGTGACATCATTGTGTCCTCTACTACACGTGGGACACTTGCGTTGTATGACTACAGTTCACACAGGAGATCACATAAAAGTTGCATTTATTTGGAAATGTAAACGGCAATACCAAAAAAATCGGATTTTACAAAAAAAATCGGAATAGAGCATCAAGGCCTGCAGTGTGAACGTAGCCTAAGCTACTTTTCTGTAGCTGTTTGTGTTCATAACTTTACTGCTTTGATTCTCAGTTGATAGATGATCTTCTCCGCTGTCATAAAAAATCCTGCAAACCAATCGCCTTTCATTCATCCTCTCTATTAGATCTTTATGTGGCACATCTCAAGCAGCATCTGCAGGTCAAAGCATGGCTTTCTATGTTAGATCAACGTTTCTAAATATCCGACACTCAAACCCAAATTGCACATCCTCCGTTCCTGTACGGGTCCGCCAGATTCCAGACTGCCTCAGAGTCTGTGGAAAGTCACGCATATTGCTTCTGTGGTTACTCCGTCTTGCTGCGGACTAAGTTCCTTGGAGCTCAAGGAAAGCATGTGAGAAGTACCAGTTAAGGCGATATAAAGGAACCTGACAAAAAAAATAAAAAATTCCTTTTGGATTTTAATTTGTTCTTCCAAAATTAGCACCTCTTCATGCATATTTGCGATTCAAAAGTTGCTCAGGAAGTTGTGAGGTTCACTCTAGGAAGTTGTTGTAAAATGATTTGCCAAAACTTTAAGCCTTGAACAAAACAACAAATCTGCTGACTTGTTTGTTTGTGCGTTTAGAAACTAGTTGTGTCCAATATTTAAATAAAACTTATCTTTATTGGGAGAATTTAAAAAAGAAGTTGTAATTTGTAGTTACTGATCTGTCATTATTACCCTATCGTACTTTGACAAACCGGACGTTGTTAGCCTTCTTTTTACTGTTTGATGCGATTGCAATTGTGAATCTTGACCTGGCCAGAGTCCGATAAGTCGGAACGGAGCAGAAAACTGAACTTGTTCAGGCAAAGGTCGGACGGCACGTCCGCGGATGGTGAGATCTGGAGGAGTCAAGGAGAACTGTTCTCATTGATTAACACAACTACACAGTTGCTCCGTCTTGCGAACATTAACGGAGGAACCGGATGATGTGGATTTCAGAGTTAGAGGTTTATCTCAGGTAATTTTTGTTAGCAAAATGGCCACAAAGGCGGTCCTAGAAGCAGTCTCACAGTGCGACCCACAACTGCAGATTTCGAGCCATGACTAAAGGTTCCTCCGTGATTTTTCGTACAGTCTTTTTTCCGTGACAGCCTAATATACAGAGTTTCAGATTATTAGATGTTTCAATAAACTACAAACAGCCCTGATTTAGGCTGTGCCTTTTAATACATTTTTCCAACCAGGTGACTCAGCTTGCCTTGGCTCCAAATCAGTAATAAATATGTCACCATATTTAGCAAATGAGTAGGTGTGCAGCTGTGACATCAATGATCAGCTGTTTGGATGAGCAATGCTTCTTAATTAACTGAACCCTTGGAAAAGGAGATAATGTGACAATATGAACCAACTTGTAGGAGAAAAGCACAGATATAACCTAAATATTCAGGAACCATGTTAAAAGCTTGGACTGAAACTTCCATCTAATGGCTCTCCATTGAGTGACAGCACAACCCTGGCTGCTATAAATATGGATGAACCTGTTTACCAGCTGGGCCCAGCACTCCCAGCTGAACATTGTCTTACGTCCAGCTTCAGTCTCGGATTGCAGCCTCTGTTACTATGGAGGTTTTTCTAACCAAGGCTGCTTCATAGGCAGCGCCAAACCTAAACCAGTTGGAACTGGTTCTTAAGGCTCAGGGTCAGCACCTTAAAAAGCGGTGCTATGGCAGCTCAAATTCTTTAGCCGAATCCAAAAACAAAACAAATCGAGGTAACTTTGTAAAAGGGAGAATGTAGCCGCTATGAAACACCTCATATTATCTTCTTGCTTTTTAGTATTTTGATATTAATAGTTGTGTCTTACATTCAAAGCAGACCAAAAATCAAGGAGAACTTTGAGAGGAAATACAATGACTTCCTGCACAAACAAAGATTTTGTTCTTTGTTTTAAAAGCGATGGCTGACAGTACCCTCCTTAACATCAACACTGCAACTGTTTTTTTTACAGTTGGAAATATTTATCATTACTTACTTTCCCATTTTTAAGCTTAGGAAGTGGAAAAGTCAAGCTCTTTTTCAAAACATCTCATTTGAATTATTCCGCCTTAACATACCAGCCCAATCGGGCAGCCAAAGCATTAAATCAGGTGTTTCCATTCCCTGTTTACAGGAGTCTGAGGGCAGCAGGATTTAGACGCGCCCCTGCTCAAACACACCCGTCTCAAATGGCTGGATTACGTCATCAACATGGCAAGTTCTCCAGAGGCCTGCTGATGAATCATTCCTTCGATTCAGGTGACCGACTAAAACAAGCAGGACACCAGCCCTGGAGGGCTGAGGCTGGACACCTGTGATTTACATGTCATTTCAATTATTCCAAGTCTTCTACTTATCTGCTCGGGTCTAATTTTGCAGTTAAGAAAAAAAAAAAAAAAAAAAGCTCACCTAGTTTTGGAAAGACGATGAGATATTCAGCATTGCACTGTGGACAAGCAACCCTCGCCGTGCTGTTGCCTCGCTGTTTTTCATCCACCCAGCGCTGCAGGCAGGACTGGTGAACCCACTTCGTCGAGCCACGGCATCGACACGGTCGAACCCACTCTGCTGTGCGGTCATCCTCATCTGTGGCGAAGCACACCCAGCAGCTCCTGAGACAACACACAGGTCCACATGTCAGACGACAAGTAAAAAAATAACCAGAGAAAAAAGCGCAATAAGGAATTATTGTTCTGACATCCCTATATAAAGCCCAGTGTTCATTTGGCTGATTTCAAAACGGGCTAAATAAGGATTTCAGATCCTAAATAAGGCCTTCAGATCATTCTAATTAGTCATTTGTATCCATGCAACTGCTTCCAGTTTCTAAAATAGTTCAGTCCTATGGCTGAGTCAAGACAAGAACATGAAGATGCGTGCACTGAGATGTGGTTTAGCTAGTCTGAGTAGTGCTAAACCACAACCAGCACAGGTTAGCAGTGGAGTCAGTCTGATAGGAAAAACTAAATGTCTACGCTAGACATGTCTACGCTATTTTTAAACTTCTTATATAAAATCTCAAACAACTATTAATCTTTAAAATTTTCACTTTATTGTCGTAATGTTACGACTTTATTAAGTTGTAATGTTACGGCTTTATTAAGTCGTAATGTTACGGCTCTATTAAGTCGTAATGTTACGGCTCTATTAAGTCCTAATGTTACGGCTCTATTAAGTCGTAATGTTACGGCTCTATTAAGTCGTAATGTTACGGCTCTATTAAGTCGTAATGTTACGGCTCTATTAAGTCGTA